GGCGCCCCACGGCTCCCTGTGTCTGGTCACACCCTGCTCCACCCTCAGGCTGCGCCACCCCTGCGTGCTGAGCTCAAGTTGGAGCCACCCGCCTCTGCTTCGACCCCCTGGGGCTCCCCCCATGCTCTGTGGGCCCCCCACCCCCTGATCAGCTCCCGGCTTCCCGGGGCGCCCTCTTGGGCTCACTTCGCCCTTGGGCTCCTCAGTGGCCCTTCCCCTGGCCGAAACCCTCGTCCCTGGCACTCGCGGGCTCTCCTGGGCGAGGCCCCTCAGCGCCTGTTGGCGCACAGAGCCTGCCTCCCCGTGGCCTCTGGGCGCCTGAGCTTACTGGGCAGGCTTCCCGGAGCTGAGGTGAGGAGAGGGAACCTGAACTCTGTGCCTCTGCCTTGAGAGGGGTCTGTCCACCCGGCAGCTGCTGGCCACATGGTGTGTCACTGAAATAAATCAATTGCATTGATTAAAATTAGATAGAAAAAATCTTGAGCACAGTTCAGGCTCCAGAGTCACATGACCAAGCCGGTGCAGCTGCTCCCGTGCAGAGGCCGGGGCAGGGCTTGGGCACCACGGCCAGCAAGCAGGGCCCCAGGACCTTAGCCGGCAGGGCCGGGCCCCGGGGCAGCCCCCGCCCCGGTGCAGCAGCAGATGGGGAAGGCTGCCTCCGGCTTCCCCTCGGGCGCGGGGCTCTGGAAGGGCACGCCCACCCCCTCAGCTCAGCGCCCAGGCCACCCCCGACCAGTCCCTGAGCCCCTGGCTGGCATCTGTGGCCATCTGAATTTTTTTTCTGTATGATTCACCCATGCAAAATGCACAACTCAAAAGTCTAAAAAGCATCTTCACTGTGCAACCATCACTAGTGCCCCGGGCGGCCTCCCCCCACCCCCAGAGCCCTGGGGGTGATGGCTGGCAGACAGGCCGGCTGTCTGCTGGCCCTGCTGACCCAGGGCCTGGGCGGCGGTGACCTGCCCTGCTGCCCCCACAGGCCCAGCTCTAGAAGCGACTGGGGGTGCAACAGCAAGCCGCTGGGAGCAGTGCCCTGCCCCTCAAGGCCCCGCCCCAGGGACACCCCTCTCTGCAGCAGCGCCCAGGCACCCAGGTGCCCCCCTTTTCCTGGCCAGGATGCTCCCGTGGGCGGGGTTGGGCCCGGCCTCTGTGTTTCTACACTCACCTGTGGCTCAGTGCTCTGAACCTGGCGTCTTAATGCAGAAGGCGCAGAAGGCGGAGCTGCGCCCCCCAGGTGCCTGAGGCGCCCCTGTCTCCGGCTCCCTCCAGGGCCCAAGGCCCAGTCGGACAAGTGTGTTCCCGACCGAGACCCTCGCTGGAAGGTGCTGGACAGCACCAAGAAGGCGGTGGCCAGCCCGCGGATCCTCTCGCTGGCCCAGCCCAAAGTGCGCAAGGACCTCAACGAGGGCTACGACCCCTTCTCGGTGTCCCCCGCCTCCCTGGCCGCGCGCGCCTCCCCGCGCCTGTTCGAGCTGGCCACGCCCAAGAGCGTGGCCAAGCGCGCCTGACGCCGCCCACCGCTCCCAGTAAACACCCAAGTGCATCCTCACTTTGTGTGCCGAGCGTTTGGCCTGGGGGTGGGGGCGGCTGCACGGAGGAGAAGCGACAATAATAATATTATGTGCACCCAGCCACCTCTGTGCCTCTTTTCCCCACACCCCGGCTGCCGGGCTGCCGGGCTCCCCGCGGCCGCGGGCTCCGGCTTCCCCTGCAGATTTCCCTCTGCGAGAGGCTGGGCGCTGCGTCCTCCTGCCGGCTGCGGAGCGGTCGCCCACGGGCCCAAAGCAAGACACGCGTTTGTTCCCCTGACAGGTCTGGAGCTCAGGAGTCCCAAGTCTTCGGGGCGCCCCTCCTCTGCCTGCTTGCGCCCCCCCCCCCCACCAGGCGCCGCAGCGGGCTCCGGCTCTTCCTCCTCCCTCACAGCAGCGCAGGGTCTTCCTTGGCCCCGACCCTCCTGCGCCGTCTAGGAGGCTCTCAGGAGCACCCTGGCCCCGGGGACCCAGGACCCCCCACCTCAGGTGCTCAATGGACGCCCCAGGGCCAGGGCGGGCACCCCTGGGAGTTCAGCTGGCCACAGCGTCCTCTCCCGCCCAAGTCCTGGCCGGCCTTTCGCAGCCTGAGGGGGGAGGGCACGTGCCCTGCGGCGGGGTGGGGGGCAGAGAGTCGGGCGGGTCCTGCCAGAGCTGCGCAGGTCCCCAGCCCTGGTCTGAGAATCCAAAATCACTGCTCAGCTCCGAGTGCTTAGTGGACGTTACTTTGCTCGGGACTCCTGGACACGCCTGAGCTCTTCCGCGCCCAGCCGAGGAAGGTGCTTGGAGGGGCTTAGCCAGCCGCCCTCATCCTCCCCAGGACTGACAGATGCAGAGGGAGGTGGCCCCGGCTGGGAGCCTGGGGGGCGCCGGGTGGGGCGGGGAGAGCCCACCGGGGCACCCCGTGGAGGAACGGCTGAGATCTGGAGGGACTGCGGGGTGGCCGGGCAGCGCCCCGAGTCGGTCATGACCCCTGAGCTCCCCTCTGGGCTCCTGGCCTGGTGCTTTGCGGGCATTCTGAACCGGTGCTCCTGTAAGAGGGGGTGCTCCTGTAAGAGGGGGTGCTCCTCGCTTGGGGGCGCAGCAGAAACAGCCCACCCTGCGCAGGTCGGGTCTCACGTGCCAGTGGGGTTCGGTGTTCAAACCTGCACCAGCCTTGAAAATGCATCAGGGGGGTTTGAACCCGCCTCGCCGCCATTGGGGTGTCGGGACCTTGCGAGTCAGGTTGGAGCGAGGGGAGGCGCCCGGGGCCCCTGGACGCCAGAAGAGGCGGGAGCGGCCCTCCCGGACTCCCGCCTGTGTAGACCCTCGCTGGAGAGCACCCAAAGACCGGCAGCGCCCTCTGGGAGACCTCACTCTGGGCTCGAGTCACCCTGGATCCCGGATTCTGTCCCCGCCATGCACACCGGCTCGCCAGACGCCCCCCGCGGCATCGCCTCAGCTGTCCCCGCGGCCTCCTGACAGGTGCGTGAGTGCGTGTGTCCGCACCGGCGGCCACCCAGGCTGTGGCTGGGCCTCAGCACTGTCTGGCGCCCGCAGAGACACCTCCGCCGTGGTCTGGCCCCGCCACCGCTAATCCGTGCGGGGCTCCGGTCTGTCATTGGAGGGCTACCACTGTCCCTCACAAGCAGCTGTGGGCTTGGATTGCTGGACACTCAGACAAGATCTGGGCTAGGATAGATGGCCACTAGTGGCTTAGAAACTTTCCCTGGTGGCAGCGGGTGAAGACGCAGCCTGCAGGCTGCCGCAGCCTCTGAAGCCACTGATCCCCGCCCGGAGCTGACCCCCAGGGCGCGGCAGACCGCTCCTGGCCCGCCCGCTGCTCCCCTCAGCAGTGTGCTCCGTCATCGGCCTGTTCTGCTCCCCACTGTCTCTGGTGAATCCTCTCACCCCCTGCTCCCTTGGCCTGCACCCCAGTTCTGTGTGCATGAATAAATAGATCTTTAAAAAATTGCTGCCTCTGTGAGGTGGGCTCAAGTGAGTGGTGTCTCGGTCAGTTGCAGTCCTCTGCGTTTTATTCTGTTTTAAATAACATTGTCAGGCAAGGGACCCGCAGGCTTCACCAAATGCGAGACGGGTGTGTGGTGCAGAAAATGTTTCGCGCCTGCACAGCAGCCCTTATGTTCCCGAGAGCAGCCCCTGGGGATAAACCCCTGACTTCTCATCGACAGGCTCGTTCTGCTCTCGCTGTGGACGCCAGGACTTCACCGTACGCTTTGATGCTTTTGGTCTTTGTTCTACAGCACAGTTCGTGCTGCTTTGTACTGGAAAATATCGTCTTGCAGTTGTTTATGATCGTGCAGATACACGCATCAGAGACCACGATGTTCTGGTCTTTCCAGACGACGCTGGAGCTTTCCTGTCTGGCCCTGGCTGAGTGGCCCCTGCAGAGCAGGAACGTGGCGGGAGGGCCACGCCACCAGCATGAGGCCTGCTCACGGCCACGTCGGGCGCGCAGGTGCGGCCTCGGGCCGGCACGTGGAGCTCCGGGAGTGATGGGCTATTTGTGAAGGAGGAAACGGGCGCTTGGGGTGTCTACATGGAGACCAGGCTCCCGGAGCAGCCTGGGCCACGGGGTCGGGGCGCCCCCTCCCCGCGTGGCCCCCAGATGCGGCGGATGAAGGTTCAGCAAACTGCGCAGGGTCACCCCACCCCGTCACCCCACCCAGCACCCACAAGAGGTCCGTGCGGACGGACCCCAGCACTGACTGGCAAGGAGCGATGAAGCTGCCCCGTGACCACGCATTCCTGTCATTGCTCTGGGAGCAGTTTGGTCAGACACAGAAAAGATAAAATGCGCCTTCTCCACCAGCCACCAGCTCCTTCTAGTGTCTGTTTCTGAGTTACTGTCGTCCACACACGTGAGGGGACACGGCATAGTATGCTCTTGGCTTCTTAAAAAGATGGATTTATTATCGGCCCTCCGTCGTGGCGCAGCAGGTCAAAGCGCAGCACTAGGAAGCTCAAGACGCTTCTGCATGAGTTCGATCCCCGCCTGCCCCGGAGGTGACCACAGGGCGTGGCAGACTCTCCTGACCGCCCACTGCTCCCCTCAGCAGTGCACTTCGTTGATCTGCCTGTTCTGCTCCCCACTGTCTCTGGTGAAGACTCTCACCATCCCTGTGCCTCTGGCCTGTACCCCAGTTCTGGATGCCCAAATAAATAAATCTAAAAAAAAAAGATGGATTTATTTATTGCATAGAAGAACTGAGGTATAGGCCAGAGGTGTAGGGGGTAAACGGGTTTTTACAGGGCAGGCAGAGGGGCACCCCGGGTCCCTCAAACCTGCCTGCTTTATATAAGTTCTGCCGGCCGCTGCATCAAGACCAAACACATAGACCTCTAAAGAAAAGAAACTTTAATACAATTAGTAAACAATATAGAAGAGACAAAGAATATAGTTTCTCAATCAAGCACCTGAAGTCCCCCGTCCCCACATGGGTAACAGCCCACCCAAACAGGATTGGCCAAAGCAAAGCCTGAAAGCCTGCCCCAGTCGAAGCTCCTTCCGGTGGGGACGCATAGAGAAGGGTCAGAAACGGCCAGACAAGTCTGCGGAGAAAAGAGCAAAATCAGCACCTAGATCAGCGCTGCCACTGTCCCCCACCGCGGTCTCTGGCCGGCACCTGTGTCCCCCTCGCCCAGGACCAAGTAGCAGAGCAGCTTCTTCGCACGTCCCTGCTCCAGGGGCCTCCTCCAGGGCTGCTTCCGGCTCTGCTTCCTGCTGCCTCCCTTCCCCAGACTCCTCTCCAGCTTCTCGCAGCTCAGCTCCACCGTCCCTTGGGTGGGGCAGGGACCCGGAACCTCCCTTCTCCGGACACCACACTGCTACAGATTCCCCAGAGACAGTGGGGAGCAGAGCAGGTGGATCCAACGAAACCCACTGCTGCGGGAGCAGCGGGTAGACAGGAGGGGTCTGCTGCACCCTGGGGGTCCCTCCCTGGCCGGGGATCGAACTCAGGCCACAGTGGAGATGGCACTTAACCCTCAGGCCACCAGGGAGGCCCCAGAAGTTTCACATTATTTTTGAACCTTCATATTAACACCCACATGCTTGTCGAAACAATTTAACTTTGTTCTTTTTGTGACAATACTTCCTCTAAGCTTCAGCATTCCAAACTGGCACGACCCGTAAAGAGGACAGTTCTTACGGGGTATTTGCCATAGCAGTCCTCCCAAGACCACTCACACTTTTTCTTTTAATCAAAGACCTTATTACTTTAGAATTTTGATTTTCAGCAATTTTTTTTTGTCATTGGTATCAAAAAATTGAAAACACACAGATTAGATTCTAAGAGAAAATAATCTTTCTGACCGGACTCAGCTCCACTCAGGCTGGCCATGCCACACAACTGGCCAGACACTGAACTACCAGATTTTAAGATGACCTAAGCGGTTTCAATCTGTTATTAAAAGCTGACCAGTTTAATGGGAAGCTACATGCAAAAAAAAAAAAAAAAAAATGAAACTAGATCACTACCTCACACCATGAACAAAAACCAACTTGAAGTGGATTGAAGACCTAGACATAAGCATGGAAGCCATAAAATCCCTGGGTGAAATACCACACGACACCACCTCAGTCACTTCTTTGAAAATACAGCACCCAACGCAACGATAGTGGAGGAAAGGATACACGGATGGGACCGCAGCAAGTTAAAGAGCTTCTTAAAAGCAAAAGAGACTACAGAAAACAAACAGATTGGGAACACTGATTGGGAAAAAACTTTCTCACACAATACTAGCAGTAAAGGACTGATCACAAAGATATACAAAGAACTGATGAAACTCAACAAAAATAAAGTGAACGACCCCATCAAAAAAATGGACGGAAGAGCTAAAAGGACACTTCTCCAAAGAGGAAATGCAGACGGCCAACAAGCATATGAAAAAATGTTCAAATCACTAGTCATAAGGGAGATGCAAATGAAAACCACAATGAGGTACCACCTACCCCAGTGAGAATGGCACATCTTCAAACAGGTAGCAACAACAAATGTTGGCGAGGATGTGGAGGAAAAGGAACTCTCCTGCACTGCTGGTGGGAATGCAAACTAGTACAACCACTGTGGAAAGCTGTTCGGAAGTTCCTCAAACTGCTAAACATGGAGCTTCCCTATGACCCAGCAATCCCACTCCGAGGTATCTACCCAAAAGACACAAAAACACTGATTCAAAAAGAACCCCATGTTTATCACTGCTTTATTTACAATAAGAAAGACATGGAATCAACCCAAATGCCCAAACGTAGATTTGGATTAAAATCCAAATGACTGGATTAAAAAGATGTGGTCCATATATACAATGGAATATTACTCGGCAATCAAAAAGATAAACACATGCTTTTTGCAGCAACATGGATAGAGCCAGAAGGGATCGTGCTTAGTGAGATAAGTAAGAAAGAAAAGGAAAATACTAGATGGTTTCACTCACAGCAGGAGTATAACAGACCAGGCGAGAAAATAATAATAATAATGAACAGCTATATACCAGAGACATTTTTGGAGGTGGAGTGGAGAATGGAATCAAAAACAGCGGGGGGAGGGAAATGCACCGGACTATGGTGATGGCACAGGGTGATTTGGTGATGGGAAGCCCACGGGGATTGCAACTGAGATGGAAAAAGGCACAAAATGATGTAAAAGTAAGCTATTATATTATTAAAAAAAAAAAAAAGCTGACCAGTTTAAGAAAACTTATGTTATTTTAGCAGATGATAAAAATTGAAATTTGGTTTCATATAAGCATACTACTTGATTTTTTTTTCTAGGTGACACAGACATATTTCACTCGTAGGTAATAAATCCTTCACATGCATTGCAATAAAAAGCCAAAGGTAAACTGAAAAAGTTCAAGAATTTCAGTTAGAATGATCTAGATAACACTGAATTCTCATTTGTAAGCTTAGAAACACTTCGACTTACCAGTTTTGGGATGGACTCACAGTGGAGTCTGAGGCTGGCTGGTCACAGGAGGCAGCCCCGTCACACCCTCGTCGGACATCAGACACGGTCTCAACCACACACTTTGAAAGAAAAATGAAAACTTCATTAATAATAGTTATGGTCAAAGTGTTTGTCTCCTCCCCCTTTAATAAGCTGAATCCCACCTCCAAGGTGGGGGTCTTGGAGGGTGATTAGGAACTCTCGGGAATGGGGTTAATGCCCAGGTGGGGTCTCTCACTCCCTGCTCTTCGACTTCCAACATCCCAAGCTGAGAAATACCTTTCTGTTGTTTATAAGTTGCCTGTTCTGTGGGATTTGTTATAGCAGCCAGAGTGGAGTAAGAGAAGAATTTTTAATTGATGACAAGTTGAAAAGAGAATATTTAAAAGCTATGTTTTGTTAAATAAAATATATTTTACTGTTTTTTAATGTTAATATAGCACTTAGAGAATTTTCATCACATTCCTACAGTGCTTGTAGAATCAAGTAGCTTATATAAAATTATAATGATGGGGGCCCTCCCTGGTGGCTCAGCCGGCTAAAGCGCAGCACTGAGAAGCTAAAGACGCTTCAGCATGAGTTCAATCCCCACCAGCCCCGGAGGTGACCCACAGGGCGCGGCAGACCTCTCCTGACCGCCCGCTGCTCCCCTCAGCAGTGTACTTCATCCATCTGCCTGTTCTGCTCCCCACTCTGTCTCTGGGAAATCCTCTCACCCCCTGCACCTCTGGCCTGTACCCCAGCTCTGTATGCATGAATAAGTAAACCTTTTTAAAAATTGTAACGATGAAGGTAATCAAGAGAAGAAAAATACAAACCACTGGAACTCCCAGAATAAAAACACAACCAAGAGCATGTGCTGTGGCTGGCGAGGACCTGCCAGGGGAGAAGCCGCCTCAGGCTCACCCCAGCCCAGCCGGCTGCCTGGCTGCTGCCTGAGAGCAGAGGGTCCTCCCTGCCCGGCACCCCAGTGGGGCAACGCCCAGCCCTGCCCAGCTCAGGAAGGCCTCTGCCTGCCCGGGGCATCCACCTTTCCCCTGCCCTGCTGACTGCCCTCCCCACGGCTTTGCTGAGCAGAGTCCTCCCCAGTGAGCTTCCAGCGTCCAAACCTCCATCTCAGTGTTTGCTTCCTGGGAGTTCGGGAAATCCACCCCTGAAGAGGGATGTTGGACGCCTACGATGTCACAGAACGTGGCGGAACGTCGCAAACCTTCACACCTGATCTTGGCTTCGAGCTGCCTCCTGACAGCTGCTCCTGCTGCCAGCGTCACCTGCCGACTGGTGCCCACCTGCACTGGTGCCTGGTCCACTGGCACCAGTGTCCGGTACCCCTCCGAGCAGCCACACTGTGCACCGAAGCCCAGGGTCCAGTTGCCTCTAAGAGCTGCCAGCTGCTCCTGGCTGTCCGGCACTAGTTAATGGCCACCTCTCCTGCCTCTGGTAGAAGTGGCATTGCCTCTCGGTGCTGCTGAGGCTGGCGCTGCCCAGCCTGGTGGCTGTGCTGTCTCTGCACACGCCCGTGACCACCGCTGCCCTGCGGGCTGGCCCCCGGCCCACCACTTGCTGGTCTGCCGCCCGCAGCCGGCTCTCGTCGGGGGGACAAAGCCATCTTGCACGAGCAGCCTTTGCCTCGGACGGCTGCACACCGCGACACTACCTGGGGTGGGACTGTTGGCCTTCGGTGGCCTTGGAGATGTTTTCCCTCCTTTCGTGCCCTTTTAGGTAACCCTGTGACTGCTGTGCTCTGTGCCCAGGCGTCTGGCAGTTGTAAGTGCCCACAGCCCCGGGGCCTCGCCAGCCTTTGCGTCGTCTCACCTATGTGGATCTCTCTTGATGGAATAAATATTTGGTTTTCATTCTTCACCCCATTAATAGCATACTTCCAACCAGTATCACCTTTTTGTTTGCTTTATACTTTTGTTTAAAATATGACTCATGCTTCGTGTTGGAGTTTAGGTCCCCTGAAAACAAGCGCTGAGACAGATTCGGCAGGAAGGTGCCTGGGGCTCTCCCTGCGGTCAACAGCCGCCTGGCAGGACAGACGGGTGGACAAGGAGCCACAAGGACACGGTTCTGGCCACCCCTCTGGAGCCTGCGTGGCCAGTCACAGGGGCGCGTAATCTCTGTGCCAGCAATCCCTGGAGATGGTGGCTCTCCATGTCTTTATAAAGGCATCAGTCCTGTTCTTGAGACCCCACCTAGGACACAGTCCCTGATTACTTCCCAAACGCCATCACATTGAGGAGTAGCCTCCAACACATGAATTTGGGGTGATATATTCAGTGGGGTGGAAAATTCCACTGTGAGTTTTCTTTTTTTAAAGATTTATTTCTGCACACAAGAATTGGGGTACAGGCCAGAGGAGTGTGGGGGGGATGAGAGGATTCACCAGAGACAGAGTGGGGAACAGAACAGTCAGATTAACTGAAACACACTGCTGAGGGGAGCAGCAGGAGGGACAGGAGGGGGCTGCCATACAGTGTGGGTCAGCTTCCTGGCTGGGAATCGAACTCGTGCTGCGCTTTAACCCACTGCACCATCAGGGAGGCCCCTCCACTGTGAATTTTCTAAGAATAGTTTCTTACATAATCACGGGCTGTTTTGAGTCCTGCAAACTTGACATTGATGCAATACTTCAATCTCTATTTGAATTCCAGCGCTGTCAACTGACTCATGATGTCCTATGTGGTATTTCCTTCCACCACCGGATGGGTCTAGGACCATCACACTTTGTGGTTACGTCTGGAAGACGTCATGGCTTTTGAGGCATTAATATTTCACAGCTTAGTATTTTTGAAGACCACCTATTTGTTTACCAGAATGTTCCTTATTTAAGGTTTGCCTGAATTTCCCTCAAATCGCATTGGAGGCAGTGAGTGCACCCCTGGCTAGATGACGTTTCGTGTCCTTCCCAAGGTATCACATTAGGAAGCAACGTGTCCATCTGCCTTTCACCAGTGATGGTAATTTTTATCACCAAGTTGAAAGGTTGCCGTGTTTCCTCACCATAACAATCGGTCTGTGGGAAAAGACCTTTAAGCCTTGTAAATATCCTTCTTGTCATCTGAATTCCCTTTCTCCCTCAGCTCATGTCAGTCTGACGATGCTCCAAAGACTACCCTCTTGATCACGCCTCCCCCATTCCTGCCACCTGTTATCTTGCATCTGGGCAGGTAGCTCCCTGCATCACTGAACCTATGACTTTCGGTGGGAGGGCTGCAAGGACAGGTGTTCACATCATTGATGCATGAATGAAGAACCAATCATTCTCTGTACCAAAGGGCTTTGAGACTGGTCTCCGTCACAAAAGCCTGAACCCCCAATCCAAATGACGTAGGAAAATGCAGGAAGAGTGTGTGTATGCGTGTGTGTGGGGGTGTTTCAGTGACATATTGGTAGAGTTCAGGCTAGACCTTTCAAAGGTGGTTCTTCTCTTCTGGCTAGACGGTTCTCAGAGGGTTGGATAATGGTTCTAGAGCAAGCATAAAGCATGGTCCACCTTGACTACTCAATATTCTGCTGGTTCACATCTGGGGCTCTTGCATCCTCTGCCTCCCCGCGTCCATCCTCCCTGGTCTCAGGAGGCATCGAGCATCCACTCACTAGCGCAGCCAAGTATCTTCTCCCTGTCTCGCTTCGCTCAGAGTCCACCTACCCTGCACTTCTCTGTCCCACACTGACACTCGCCGCCTCCTCCCCATCTCCCTTACTCCCCTCCACATCCTCTGCCTTGAGAGGACTTGTCAGCCTGAACTTTATAAGGTGTCGAATCTGTGAGGACTCACTTGTTCAATCTCCTCCTCAGCACCCAGCAAAGGTGCAGAACGTACAAACGTTCCAAAAAATATTTCGTCAATGAGTCAAAACAACACCGGACGGTGCTTAGAGCCAAATGACCCGGGGTCCGAGTCCCCTCTCCTGTTCGGCCGTGGGGACTCAGTCCCAGTACTTGGAGGCCATGTTTGTCAACGCTCAAGACGCATTTTTGCCAGCTACCCAACACACTCCGGCGCAGACGGATCATCACTGGCGCAAAAGTGCAGAAAGTTGCAGACCACTGCCCTGGCCCAACTGGGGCTCCATTGCCTGCATCGTCGGGGGCTGTGCCTGGGCCTCGGCTTCCTCACCTGTGTCCGGAGTTCTACTAGTATTCAGCTATGACTTGAAGGGAGGCGCTAGGGCCACTGTTTCCTACGCGGGAATGATGGTCGGGAATTAGCGTTTTTCTACATAGCGCGTCCAGGCGCCTAGGCCAAGGCCAAGATCGCAGGCAATCCCCCCGAGCGCGCGCCCGCCCCCGGACCCCGGCGCGTGCACCTACTACGGGCCCGCCCCGATCCCGCCCCCCCGGCGCTGCAGCCAATCAGAGCGCCGCCCCGCATCCGGGGATCCCGGCGCGGCCCCGCCTCCCGCGCACATACGGCC